TCTACAAGTACCGGAACAAGAGGTGATGCATGCATTTCATTGGAGTTGATGTTAAGATTTGAATTTGCATTTAATCTATATCTTATGAAAAAGATTTTAGAGATTTCAAACGAATTGTCAAAAGCATTACAAAGAAAAGATCAAGATATTGTCAATGCTAGATATGTAAAACACAACTCCAAACCATGAGAGATGATGGATGGGATTCTTTTTTGGGAGTGGTTTGTTCTTTTTGTGAAACTCACAAGATCAATGTTCCCGATATGGATGATATGTTCATAACTGTAGGTCGTTCACGGCGTGAGACAGTGACAAATTTGCATCATTTTCGTGTGGAAATGTTTTATGCCGTCATTGATATGCAACTTCAAGAGTTGAATGATCGTTTTTCTGAAGCAAATAGTGACTTGCTTATTTGTGTTGCATGTTTATCTCCAAATAATTCATTTGCTGCTTTTGACAAGATCAAATTGATTCGACTATGTCAGTATTATCCGGTAGATTTTGATGCAGCAGATATTCTAGAACTTGATGATCAACTAGATACGTATATTATTGATATGCGCACTTCTGAAGACTTTGAAGAATTACAAGGCATTAGCGATCTTGCACAGAAGTTGGTTGTGAAGAATAAACATGAAGTGTATCCATTAGTCTACAAACTTGTGACACTAACCTTAGTTCTTCCCGTGGCTACTACTACAGTCGAGAGAGCATTTTCTGTGATGACTTACGTCAAAAATCGTCTGCGCAATCGAATTGGAGATCAATGGTTGAATGATAGTTTGATTGCATATATTGAGAAGGATGTTTTTGATAAGATTGAAAATGATGTAATTATTGAACGTTATCAAAGTATGAGAACACGTAGAGAGCAATTGTAATAAGATATATCTTATTTTAATTTTTTCATCACTTTTTTAAAAGTTCGTTACTGACCCCCTAGTCTAAAATGTCTGCGTCCGCCACTGACCTTATGCATTCATATTATTTTTCTTAAATGAATCAGTACATGCTATTGAATTATATTGACAAAAATAAATAAACTTTTAATTTATTTTTCAATAATCTTATCTTTTACCGCAACTAAATCCCTTGAACTTTCTCAAACTAATGTCAAATTTAAAATTTAAAATTTAAAAAAAAAAATGTAAAAAAATTCATCTAAGGAGCTAAAGTTAACAATTTTCTTGTCAAAATTCAAAATTCTGGTTGCCATCAGGTGGATATATGGAGAAATGCACAACGAACATGAAAACAAGATTCAATATACTGGCCGGAAAGCTCGTATAGACCAGAAAAGACTATGTTGATTGTGGATAATGGATAATCATAGTCGCTCCTGAAACGCCGGCAAAACACTTTCCCTCAAAGGTTAAAAACCTTTGATGCCCCATGCTGAATCTACAGGTTCTACTTTCCGAGTTAGTCCATAAAGTTCCAAGGGGGTTGGTATCAAACAATTCCTTTCTAGATTTAGAATGAAATTAACAAGGACAAACCTGGAGTTATTGTGAGATTAATAATACAGAAAAAAACAAGAAAAAGTCTCTCTCAAGACTTGCACAATAGCATTTGAGAATGAAGCTTCAGTTTACATGCAGACAATATGAAAGGAAACAATAAATTAAGAATAGAGAAAGCACATGGGTGGTTGGGATTGGTTTCCACTCAATGAAGTGGCCTCACGGGGTACCCCCCGGACACCCTTGTTTGCAATATGCGGGTACACCCTTGTTTGCAATATGCAATGTATGTAGCAAGACAATATCAATATAAAATAAAATACCCATTCAATCTCATAGACAAGAAAGCCTCGAACAATCAAGAACGTTTTAGCATCCAAATAATACAGAGATCTAAAATAATAGATTGTCAAAAAGAAACTGTAATGATAAGATAATCTGGGACCCGGGGAAGCTGAGAGATGAGGAAGAAACAAGACCAGTAGGACGCAGAGCAGCATGTCTTCTTCATGGGGGTCTCCTGGGGTCCAACAGCAAGGGTCTTCCCTTCTTTGAGGCTAGTAGGTGCAGGCTCATCTGAGGAGAGTGACTTCTTACTAATTATCCGATATATTTCTGAAAGGATCATTTGGAAAGCCTTCTCTACATTGCTGGCTTCCAGAGCAGACGTTTCGATGAAAGAAAGGCCTTCTTTTTCAGCAAAACCTTGAGCATCCTCTGTTGCAACAGCACGTAGATGTTTAAGATCTGTCTTATTTCCTATAAGCATAATAACAATGTTGGAGTCTGCGTGGTCCCTCAGCTCCTTCAACCACCGACTCACATTTTCAAATGTGGTTGGTTTTGTCACATCATATACAAGAAGAGCTCCCAAGGCACCCCGGTAATATGCACTTGTTATGGCTCTATACCTCTCTTGGCCAGCCGTATCCCATATTTGAGTCTTAACAGTTCTTCCCTCAACCTAAGGAGTAAATACAAGTAAACAAACACAGCACAGTAAATACATTTGGGGATCCTTTTCAACTAAATGGTGTGAGATAGAGAAAAAACATGTCTATTGAATATCGCAACGTTATTAAGCCCTTCTTTGAGTCCTATTCTTTAAAATTCATTTTTACTCAAACTCATATTCAATCACATACTCCCAATAAAATAATTTCACTTACTATTTGACATTCTAAAAAATACACCTTTTACAAAATCTATTATCAATATGGGGCTCGCATAGGGGATAAGGATATACCAATATACTGAAAATAGTAATAGAGAATTTCTTAATGTTATACGCCCACATCAAAACATCAAGATTATGTCCTAAGTCCTCATCTTTTTGCTTCAGTGATAGATGAGATTACAAGACATATCCAAGATGAGTCTCCTTCATATATATTTAGAATTATTATTATTATTATTATTATTATTTTTTAAATATTTATGGGATCTTCAAAAACATCCTTGTCTTCTAAATTAATATAGAGCTGGACAGATGATTGGATAGGGAACCAAATAAAAAGATAATAATATCTTCATTTGGAACAGGCAGTTACATAATCCAAAGGAAACTAGGGTCTGGTAAAGGTAATATCGCAAGATCAGCAAGTTTCTCTATCAATCAGATCCGACATCATTAAATCAAGAACTGTACACCAACATTTCAGCAGTCAAGCTTTGCTAACTGTCTCATTTCTTCTTCATGTTTCTTAAATTTTTACTACATTTCCTTTTCTCGAAAGCTATTTTGTTCTGATGAATAAATGTCCCCAGATTATTTGTCTCAAAGGCTCGGATTTCAGATCGCACCACAACTTATCGAATACAAAAGCTAGCCAGTCTACATATCAATTCTAGCAACTGGATATATTTTGAATGTAGTGTGAAAACTTGATACGGAGTCAATTTAGCAAAAAACAATAAAGCTCCTATTGATGAACGAGAAAACAAGTTCCTAATATACAATCTTCTATCAGCCGTCCAGTAGCCATCCGTGTTGTATATCATTGCAAGCAAATCGAAAAAAAAAATTTTGTGTGTGTGTGTGTGAGAGAGAGAGAGAGAGAGAGAGAGAGAGAGAGTCCTTTATATCCATGCCCTCAGACTCAGAGGGCTTTCAAATCTTGGCGTCCAAATGCTGTGTAGATTGAGATTCCAAAGAAATCCCAGAACAGTAAAATATGCATTAATTTTCACAGTATTTAAGTTAGATAGTTAGCATTAATAAAACGATATTTAATTTACAATTATTGAAATCTCACCTTCACTTCAAATAGAATTACAAAGGGCAATCATATCAGGTAATTCAACAGAATCTACAAAAGATCACCATTCCAAATAACATCGCCAACAAACATAAAGATCTAAATATCCTAAATTAAATCAAATAAAAGAATCACAAGAAAAATAAAATTGAACAAATTTAAGTAACATATAAACATTTATATGGAGTAAAATTCAAATCCATTGACAAGTGGCCTCGAAAGACGCATACCGACACTAAATTACTATTTTTGGTTATACACATTAATGGACACTAAAAATAGTAGTAGTAGCAGCAGCAGCGAACCTGAAGTGTACGGGTGGCAAATTCCACTCCAATTGTGGATTTTGATTCCAAACAGAATTCATTTCGGGTGAATCGGGAGAGCAAATTTGATTTGCCCACGCCCGAATCGCCGATTAATACCACCTTGAACAAGTAATCATAGTCCTCGTCCGGCCTCCTCGCCATTTATATATCTCTGATTTTTCGCTTTCCTGTGGAATCGGTCGTCAAAAATACGAAAGTTTAGGCATGAAAATGGAGGATTTTTTTATGATTGCAGAGGAGTTCTTTTTTGTTCAATTTTATGACAAAAATGCCCCTGCCTAAACGGCTTCTTTTGTTCTATCTCTTTCTCTGTCTTGCAAACATGCCCCTGACTTTTGAGATTTTCATTCCATACTCGAAAGCAAACGACTCGAGTCGCTCGCAAGCTTGGCTCATCTTGCCTCGAACTCGTTTGAACTAAGTTTGCCTATCCTTTTCCGATAAGGATCATACTTGGAGTACATAATGGACATGGTGTCCATTATGTTGAAGTAGCACAAGACCGTATCTGTGCTTCGTGGGGCCTGAGGCGAACTTCGAAATTTGGACCCTAGACTCTAAGTCGTAACAAACAATTCATTTTAAAAAAAAAAAAAATTAGAAATTTACGGAATTAAATTTGTTGACTTAAATCAACAATAAAACAACAAATAAATTTTTTGATGTTCCTTCCTTTTCTTTTCGTTAAAGTATTTATTCGTTTCTTTTGAACACATGGACATAGTGGATTTATATATATATATATAAAAAAAAAAAGGTAAAGAGGTAAAAAGTAAAAAATGGGGCCCCTAAAATTCTGGGCCTGAGGCGGAGGCCTCTTGGACCTCCCATCAGGTCCGGCTCTGAAGTAGCATAATCCTTCCAATAAACTCATCAATGATTAATTATCTCGATCAAATTATACTAAATAATGCTATAATTTAAAAAAATTAAAATAGACAGTAAAATAGTACATAATAGGTTAAGATAAAATATATATATCATCATTGAACCATGTTTTCCAAATGAGGTTGACCAAAATTGTACCTAGAAAATAGAAACTAATCATGCTTGGTGTACGTCTTGTTTACACTTCATCACGTGACAAACTGTCATTTGACAGTTAAAAAAAAATGTTTTTCACTTAATTACTTTTTGACAACAATACAGATGTCAACAAGGGTGTAAAAATGGTAAAACCTAATAGAAACTTTCAAATAATCTCAAATGTTACCAGCTTTTTCAGCTCTTGAAGATGGTAGTAATGGAGCACGAGAATAACATTATCGAAACTCATGTATAAAGCGATATAATTTATGAAATAAGAATGATATCAGATTGTCAAAAGTAAAGCAAAATTTTCTTCAATCTACTTGAAATGAAGCAGTTTCTGCCTCAGTTCCCGCCATAATGCGCAGAACCAATGCATGGAGTCATTCCATTCTGTCCCAAACAAATTTGGCTGAGTTGGTATCGATCAGCAACTTCTACGCGGATCATCAGAACGTTAATTGCAAGCAAGCAACTTCGATATAACAAAGAGACACCATTAGTATCATGCTGTGTTACATTCCTGTTTTGGCTCGTTTCATGCCATTGCTGTTAAAAGGAGACATGCTCGGGCTCATACTCGGGCTCATGCTAGGCCTTTCTTCCCTTAGCGTACCATTTAGCATAGCCAACTCTCTCAGCTGTTGCTTCTTATAAATGTCCATTGATTCATCCTGAAAGGAAAAAGGGAGAAGCAGTAAGATGCCTAAATATAAGATGAGTTTAATGATATCAAAGGGCCTACATAGATGTTCAAATCCATACCACGGGTTTTAATAGTTTTTCAAGTACTGCTACTGCATTATCCAAGCGGGCGTCTATGATATTCTCGGGAAACTCGGCCTCCACCAAAATGTGTAGTGGTTCGTTTAGGTGCTCATATCCAGGTTTGTCTTTTAGTGTCTCTTCCTAAGGAGACAGAGGACACAGTTGTGAGAAATTTGAAAAGCCATGACCGATATTCACACAACCTCTGGCCTCACAGCTGGAAAACAGTAAATTGGGTGGTAACAAAACCGGCAAAGTTTGGTGATGCCATCAAATTAAATTGTAATTAATTTATAATGAAAATCAAACAAGCACTTAGTAACATCAATGCGTTTCACAACCACGACAAATAAACCAAAAGTAAAAAGAATTGGTACCTTGAGAGAATCCTTCACTGAGCCCTGACCCCTAATATATATTCTACATTCTGTCATGGATTCAACTCTTTTCAAAGAGTTTCCACGTGGTCCCAAAATTCGGCCAACAAAATTATACTGCTCAAATTCAAGTTAGAAGTCATTTTTTTATATCATTCAACATGTGAATAAAGATAAATAACCAAAATCCATTTCGCTAAAGACTTTTTTTACATACACTTGGGTATTTCTCCACAGGAACATCCAGTCGGATAACCTTCTTCACAACTGGAGTGGTTCTTGTCCCAGGTACTGCATTCCAGTTTAGAGAAGATGGTTGAAAAGGAGCCATCTTTTGAAGGAACCTATCTTCCTGATGAAGGTACATTACACATGTGAGTTTTCCAATCAGTTTCAAGAAAATTTAGTGAGTTCCTTGCATGTAAACAAAGACTGCAGCCATCCAAAGCATTAACGTTGCCATTAGTGTCAAATACAAATTCACTGAGATCTCAGCAAGCCGCAACCTCTATTATCTGAAGCCACTTATGAACTAGTGTAAGGACTCCCATGATTAGCCAGAGTTTTGAGATACTTTAATTAATTCAGTACAACCTGATTATGGAACTTGTTAAGGAGCAAAAAGCTAAAACAAGCATTGTTATGTAATGCTTGTACTTTCATACCAATGAAGAACCATAGAGGTCTTTAGATGGATAAACAGTGACATACATATCTGAGATATAGAATGCTTAAGATATACTTGTTGACCAACAGCACACTACAGACATATTGCAAATAGGAGGATCCAAATGCTTTCGTATTTAAGCATGGCTGTCTAAAGTATTTCTCTGTTTTTTGGGTAAGTAGCACATGTATCCATTCTCATTTTCAGTATGAGACTACCACACATCAAACACGGACTATAAGAGAATGTGAGAAGTTCGGGTGCAAGGCTTATTTTATATTTACTGGGTGGGGGTGGGTAGTTACTAGTTAGGACATTTAGCCTATGTTTGGCTCATGTTTATAAACACTCAAACAACTTTTTATCTACTCATTTTAAGATCCACAGGTACTACACATTTATCCACCACTCGTTCCTCTCTATCTATAAGCTAAACTGTTTTATAAACACTCCCCAAACATGCTCTTAAAATAAGAAAGATGATGCCTCAATATAAGAAAAGAATTTTCTTTGATGAATGTCCAGATGCTAATTCAAGAAATAATATCAAGAAAGGTAACTTTCTCTAAATGGCCAACTATTGGGGATAATGTTAAGTTTATTATTTTTGAAACTTCCTTTAAATTGGCCGCAAATTTTCAACCAGAAGGAACATCTATTGCATGCTCCTTGCAGACTCGAGGAAATAATTTTAGACAGAAGCACAACTTATGATTTATATCAGAATATGCTCTGTGCATAATAACAGAAGACATAATAACACTCATGTTCAAATCCATAACATTTGACGAAAAAATTTGACCTCCAGGGGAAGAGAGATTCATATAAGACCATACTTCTATAGAAGAAAAGGGAAGTTTTGTCAAATGTTCACCTGCTTATCAAGAAAGGAAATTTTCTTTAAATTGGTTAAGGATTTTCTTATCAGAATTAATATCTATTGCCCCGGCAGACTTGAGGAAATAATCTTAAAAAGGAATCATGATTGACAATTTATGTCAGAAGCTGCTGTCTGGACTATTACAAATGACATCTTCCAAAATTAAATCTTCACAATTGACAAATTATGTCAAAAGATGCTGTCTGGACTATTACAAAAGATATCTTCCAAAATTAAATCTTAGAATTGGAAACCTAAACTTTATAAAACAATGAAGCTGGTTGACATTAATGGAACGTCTTAAAAATGATTTTAGCTGCAATAGATGCTCAGGTGATAACCACATCATTTAAGTTCTTTGGGCTGCTAAATTGCTGAAAAACTAGAGCACAGATTTAAAACAATATTCCACATATTTGACCTGCAAAGATAATATAAATAATAGACCCAAAAAAAAAAAAAAATTAAAAAAATCATCAATTCAGCAGATTGTGCTCACACTTTGATTTATTATCACAGATAAGATTAATATAGTCCATAACTAATTAAGTTTACAATCACACAGAAGATTAAATCCATCTCTACATCAAGTTATAGTCAATAGTTAAATTAACTTCCAAAATAAATAAAAACATCACACCTCAGTTTGCATGGCATTCCAAGCCATTACACTTATCGGCCCTCCATTAGGCTGTTGACCCAATGACCTATACGGATTATCATGCCCCATTTTTTCGATTTCTGTGAGCTTATTAGATACCAATCCTGATACTCGCATGATTTCTGCAAATATACGATTTATTGAAAAACAGTTCAATAAGAAATAGCAATGGAGGAATAACTGACAGAAGATAGTTGAACACCTGCAGTGGATATCCAATAAAAAATTCTGCCTCAGGTTGCAATCTGTAAAGTAAGTAATTTATCTCTATACAACTCAAAACTCAATTCAAGTACATAATTCACTGATAGAACAACAACCAGTGGCGGTATTCAATCAACAAATACATTTTTTCCAAGTATTATGATAGACATACCATGTATAACAGAATAGGGCTTGTACTGGGAGGGCTAAGTCAGTGACTCGGTGGTTAAGATTTAACAGCATTTGTGTTCCCAAAATTGTCAAATTCAGGTCTGTGCCAAATGGCAAGCTCCTAACCACCCGCTATTCAATGGGAAAAGAACTTCAAAGATCTAAAGGGTTCATAATCATAAAGCCCATGACCCCTTTTGTGCCATTATTAGTTACTATGTCACGTTTGGCAAAACTTAAATTAAATTTTGAGCTGGTCAAACATACCTTTTATCCACACATTTCATAAGATTCATAACAACAGCTCACTCATTATCCACACATTCCGTAGGATCCATAACTTATAAACGCTCCCCTATTAAAAAAAAAAAAAAAAAAAAAAAAAAAAAAAAAAAACCATTCCGCCAATTTTCATTTCAAAAAATGGGGGTCAAGCGAGGGCTAAAGGCTTCAGATTTATAGGCATCTTGTCATGCAATAACGTCAAAATTGTAGATATCACCAAACCCTCAACTCTTACCACATTATTTAGTGAAGTTCCCTGTAAATTGTTGAGGTTCCCTGTAAATTATTTCTTCATTTAGTGAATATAGATCGAGTACTGCAAGATAAATATTCGAAGAATTGTCTCGTTAAATCAAACAGCACTTGTAAGACATTTCCGTTAAGTTTGTGGATTTTCTTCCTCATTATAAAACTTAGAGCAGTGCGTTCAAAGTAGAATAACTTGGAAAAGCAAGAGGTAGACCAATAATTTCTAAAACATGAATGGTGCTATTTTTTGCCTCTCTGCCAGTAGAACATTAACGACCTTGATCTAGAAGTCTGCTGCAAACTGGGAGAATCTGCATGAATGGTGCTAATTTTTGCCTCTCAGCCAGTAAGTCTGCCAAATATCTGTCAATGTCAAACCAATCAAATCATGCATCACAATTAAGCATGCCAGTGAAAGATTACCACTAGAACATCAAAGAAATAGCCTTGTGGGGCACCTTATAAAGCCAAGCATATATAACACATTTATCGAGCATAGAATAAAGCCAATCCTATAAAAGGCGGAAATTCACACTAAGTGGCTGCAAAATACTTAAAACTTGAGAATATAGAATAGTTTATTCATTTGTCAGAAAAAAAAGGTCACTTTAGCTCTAAGTTCTTGAACATCAAATCATTTAGGCAGGTGAAAACAATAGAGTATCCAATCTAAATTTGACAGCAGAAAATGCCCTTTGATCAAGACGAGCAAGAAACTCGCATCTAATTCTTTTACAGTGAAGACTGCAACATGACACAAGCTTAAGTAATTATTATATCAATAAAAGTTCTTACTAACGTAAGAATCAAAATAAGTTTGGTTCGGTGCTAAATCTACACAATAACACATAGCCTCACAAGGAATTAGCTGATGAATGGTAAAAATCCCGTGGCTTGCGAATAGTGTAGGCAATCAACCGCAGATAACCTAGAGGACGAGGAGCAAACTTGAAAAAAGACTAAAAAATAAAAGACCATAACCGTATCAGACTATGCTCAGATTTGAACCCAACAACAAAAGTTAGAAAAACCCAACAAAAAAAAAAAAAAAAAAAGACCAAAACCTCAAGGCTAATTAGAAACACTGATGTTAACAGGAAAAAAATGAAGGAAAATATGGGAATCAGAAAAGAAGATCAAAATTCCAACCTTTCACGATCTGTAAGAGATGCAGACCTCTGAAGTGAACCATAAACCCCCGTAGGAGAGTACTGGAAGTAACTTCCCGGTGGGATTCTACTATCCATACGCCTAGTAATCACGATATATGCCTGTTAACAATCAAGTTTAGTCTGTTATCAAGAAAAATCACTCTGAAAAAGTGTCCATGTATACAAACACATATACGCGAGATAAGAAAGTGGGCTTACTGGGGTAGGTGGCTAGAAGAAAGGACCGTGAAAGAATGGAGGTGGGTTGGGTGGGGTGAAGGAAGATTCCAAGTTTGGTAACCCCCTTATGGGAACGTTCCTCTCTTGTGGGTAAGAGGAGGAAGAAGGAAAATAAATGATTATGGAAAATCCCTACAAGATAGTGGAAAGGATTCTTTGCTTTGATTTGTGTGTAACAAAATCACTGGATTTGTTTTACTTTTACATGATGATCTCATAATATTTATGCTCTGTTGGGCTCAAATTTTAATTTAAATCAAAATTAATCAATCAATTTTCACTATATTTTTTTATATTATAGATTCCACAATTTTTGATCTGTACATTCCAAAAATTTCTATTAAAAATTTTAATACCCACCAGAGAATTAAGTGCAAAATAAGTTTAGGGACCAGTTTGTGACTGACTCTATAAGTCAGGGACTGTTGTACAATATGCGCCATGAATATATTCCATTTGAGAGAAAGTAGAATCAACCCTCTGTGCATACGTATATAGGTGTACACTTCGATTCCTGAAAGATGGATTTAGCTCTTCGGTAAGTATAAGTGTACAAGCAGCCTTTCATCTTGTACCCTTGGAGGCATAACTTGTGATTTACCTCACTCACGATACTCCAGGACAGGGGGATGGGAGACTCTTAAGGTTAGGGTTTAACCTTTTTGTATATAGATGTACACGTGCGAATACGTAAAGTCACGTGCGGGATAGTTGAAAGAAAAAACACGGCGACGCTGTAGTCAGGGACTGTTGTACAATATGCGCCATGAATATATTCCATTTGAGAGAAAGTAGAATCAACCCTCTGTGCATACGTATATAGGTGTACACTTCGAATCCTGAAATATGAATTTAGCTCTTCAGTAAGTGTAAGTGTAGAAGCAGCCTTTCATCCTGTACCCTTGGAGGCATAACTTGCTATTTACCTCACTCACGATACTCCAGGACAGGGGTGATGGGAGACTCTTAAGGTTAGGGTTTAACCTTTTTGTATATAGATGTACACGTGCGAATACGTAAAGTCACGTGCGGGATAGTTGAAAGAAAAAACACGGCGACGCTGTGCACATTGTACGTCCAAGGAGGAGTCTGTCTCATCGTCTTACGCTCGCGCACTACTCTTTCATCAGTCTCTCTCTATATTTTCTTCTCTGCGACTTTCTCTGCCTACCTTTTTATGCATGGGGATTCTGAAATCGAAGTACCAATAGCGTAGAAAACCATGTCGAGCGTTGTTTAAAAATTTTCAATTCGAAAATGTAATTTCAGGGCATTTTTTAGGGGTGATCGAAGAGAAAAAAATTCAATTGAAGCGAAACTGTATTAGGGTATTGTCAAGCATGAAGGGGATGCTAGATCGAACCAAGGTTGTAGTGAGGCACTTGCCGCCGACGATTTCTAGGTCAGCTCTCATAGAGCACGTTGATTCCGGCTTCCGCGGCCGCTATCGATGGCTCTCCTTTCGGCAAGGCAGATCAAGGTCGGGGCTTGATTGTTATGCACGAGTTGTACTTTATTTTTTAATTTTTTAATAAAGTGTGTATGAATGTGCTTTGGGTGATTTGAATTTTGAATTGTGTTGGCCGGAAGTTGATATAATGTGGCAATATTTGTGTACTTCCAAATGGAGTGAAAAGTTAGGGATTTAAACGAAGGCTTGTTCAGGTAGTTATCTTGCTGTTGTTCTTCTGCTGGAGTCAGTTTCCTCCCTTACTGTGGGGAGAATGTCTGTTGCTGTTCCTACCAAAATGTTAGTGCTAGGAGTGAGCTTTAGGCTCAAGTTGGATAATGTTCTATGAAGTTATATAGGTGCTGATAAGATAATAAAATTGACAGGAAGTGATCCTCATGAGTTGTCTACAGCAGATAGGTCTAGAGGTATCTGGGTAGTGAATGGAGTAAATTGAGATGTGGTTTGCCTGGAACCATGGCGTGTGAAGCATTGGTGGAAAAAGCGGGCACTTGTGTTTGGGCACTGTGAACTGGAAGGTCTAGTTTTCTAGTTTGGTGATGTGGATTACCGGTATATACATCCTGTCATTCTAACATTTTGTGTTGTTTTCACCCGATTGCTCATTATTGTTTCTATTATCAGAGGTGTAGGAAAAAACCGATGCCATTTTTTGGCTTGGCTGAATCATCGAGTTAGCTTTCCTGTGGAAGGGAATGCTGTGCCTAACCCCATAAGGAAAGACTTTAGATTCGCTGGCTCGGTAAGAACAATCATGGTGAATTATGAGCTTAATAGGAGAAGTTATTGTCTAAATGCTGTATTGCGGGCTCTACCATGCATTTATTGCTACATGCTTTACATATTTCAAGTGATAAGATATTGCAAGCAAGGTATTGTGGTTATGAGGGGAACCACTAGTTCAATTACTGGAAACCGGTGTGAAAATTTCTCAATCGCCTGTGCAACAACTTTTTGTTTGTTCTTGTTCTTTAAAAGACAACAACCTGACTGAAATGTTTATAATTCAAATCAATCTGTACACTGAACTCAAAACTCCATGAAAAGAACCATTGAATTATTAACAGGCAGAAAGGTGGCAGTGTAGTGAAATTGGTGGTGATTGCGGTACTTATAAGTATTTAAGACGTCATTCCTGGGTTGGAACCCATAGGATTTATTAAGAAATAGTATCCACAAATCAATTATCTCCACAATAATGCTTTATGATCTCATGTTCTCCATAATTGATACGGAGTAGACTATCTAGCTTTCATCTTTCAACAGTCAATAGATGTTTTTATTATTAAGGTAGTGTTTGTTATTACAGTGCCTGGCTGTAGTTTTTGCCATTTGGTGGCTTGGATTGTTGTAGTTTGGGTTGTTGGGAATAACGTCATGTCAGTGTGTATTGTATTTGCCCCTATCCTCATTTATGCCGCCCATAGAATTGAATTAGTTTTCATGAATGGAGTGACTTTTATGAGCTTGATGGAAGAAGTTATAATTTAACACTGTCTCATGCTATTAAGCATTTGTGTGCCGTATCTTTACATTTCAGAGAAAATAAGATGCTGCTTCTAATGGTATTGAAATGGTATTGTAATTATGAGGGGAACCACTTTTTTGATTATTGTAAACCTTTGTGAGGGGTTTGAAAAGCCAATTTTGAATCTTGAGTTACATTTTCTTCGTATAGCGCCGTTCCTGGCTTCTAGGAAATTGAGGTGCTTGGATTTTTAGTCAGAAGTGCTTTAAGGGTTGTTTAACCTCTCTTGCGGGTAAATGCTGATTTTGGATTCAGCGTGACCTTTGGCAATTTGAAGGCACCTTTTTATATGGTTTGTTAAAAATGTAGTTATCAGTTTCAGACTTTACCTTAGATGAAGCTTTGATTGGTGATAGACACATGAAGGTTTCCCCCAACAAATAAATAAATAAAGGAAAAAGGTAACTGAAAAAAATTCCCGCTGAAAGACATTTTGGAATGTAACTATTGACATGGATGTGGGTGAATAGAAGTGGCAAGAAGCACAACACTGGCGAAATATTTCTCGTGTATGTTGTCATTTAGACTTTTGATTATTTCTTACCTTTTTAATGAACATTGAACTACAGTGCCATCTTTTTAAGTGAAAGCTCCATCTCTGCTTTTGAAGCCTTTTGTTTTCTCCTTCTACAAAATTATATGGTAAGTGCCAAAGAGTGCAAAACGTATAACAAATGACTTGCCAATCGAAAATGAGGCCCCCTTTACCTCTTCTTGGTTGTTTTAGAATTTTCTATCTCCTGGTTCCAATTTAACCTACAGCAAATGATGTCAAGATGTATATGAATATTTTAGGTGCTTTGTAATTTTGATGTATGCTGGTAGAGGATGACTCATGATGGAAATATATCATTACTAGCACATAATGGGGTCTATTACATTAACTTTTGACTGTCATTAATTGTTTTGCAGCATTGGGTTATCAAGGTTTTTCTTGTGGGGGGTGAATTATTACTTATTAGGAAAATCAATTTCTAGGTGTGGAAGTTCATATTTATAGGTTATTTTCCGTCCTTCCCATTAAAGAGACATGTATGTGCATTTTTTAAGGTATCTCTTGCTCCTTGTCACAATATCATCTTTGAAACCTTGCATCTCCTTTTGCAGCCTGAAGCATCCGTCCTATTCCAGAGCCTACATTGACTTTAATCAGCCAGAGAATACTATTGAGTTTGCAGAGTTTTTCAATGGCCATGTCTTTGTCAACGAGAAAGGTAGCGTTCAAGAACATACTTGAAAAATTTGCAATCATAAATTTATTATAGAAATTACAATGCTTTTTTTTATTTATCTGAAATTTTACTCTCTTATGATAGTTAAATTTTAATCCTTTTGCTTGCCGCTACTCAGCTAAATATTTTCTTGTGATGCAAAAGAATTAATGGAAAATATGTTATTTAGTTGAGGATTTCTCCTTTTCTTTATGTCTTCTGTCCTGCCTTCAGGCACCCAGTTTAAAACACTTGTTGAGTATGCTCCTTCACAGCGTGTTCCGAAGCAGTTGTCTAATAGGGATGGGCGTGAAGGGACTATATTTAAAGGTATTTAATTGGTGTGCTGATTGCATGTGGAATACATGCTATCACCTCCTTTTTGCAATCCATGTTAATTTGTTGATGAAAATGTAGATCCTGAATATTTGGAGTTCCTTGAATTTCTTGCAAAGCCTATCGAGAATCTTCCCAGTGCAGAAATACAGTTGGAGAGGAGGGAAGCAGAACGAGCTGGTTGGTGTTGATTACTTTTAAGCTCGCCCATCCTTTCAAGATAACAAATATGTAGGACGACAATAGTTTCATTTTCATTTTTAGTTGCAACAGTTCTTCATTTTATTTTAGGTGCTCCAAAGGATATTCCTATAGTTACCCCTTTAATGGACTATGTTCGGCAGAAAAGAGCTGCAAAGATTGGTCGGGTAGGAAATTTTACTATTTTTTTACTCAAAAGTGTCTCTCTCTCTCTCTCTCTGAAATTTATCTTAGCAGCTGTATCACTCGTTGATAAGAAATGACAATCATCTCTTTGTGGAATGATTTCTGAGTAGAGTTATCTAGGTCTTCAAGTTGATTATTTCTTGGCATTTTAACTTGCATCAGTTTGGTTATATTTTGTTTTACGCAATTGTCAAGTTTGTGTGAGCAATGAAATATTTCAATCATTGGTTGAAAAAATGTGTGACAGAGCAAGTAGTTAGAGAACATTTGAGTGACAGCTTCTTCTTCTTTTTTCATTAATGCTGTTGTAGTCCTATCTGTTTGTATGTTGATATTTGCATATTCAAACTATTAATTCCATGTTTAGGCTGGAAAACAGATTTGTCCCAAATAGAGACTGGAACTTCAGGGTGAAAATTCTGTTGCACTGAAAATATAAGCTACTGTGTGATATGGAGGGTTTTGGGGGCTTATGCTATGAGAACTTTTTAAGCTAATATTGATTTCTTATTTGTATAAGGTTTTTATTGGTTGAGGTGAGAGAGGGCTGAAAACGAGAAGGATGTGGAGACAAGGATACAACACTTCTGGTAATATTGTTAATAGGATTTTCTGTAGAGATTTACTTGTGGAGTGTGAGGAGATTTTTTCTTCAATTATTAGGTCATAGCTCTCAAAAAAGGGGTAAAATGACAATTTGAAGCCTGCATCCAATGCAGCTAAATGTTCAGTGTTCTTACAAGTTGTTAACAAAATGTAAGGGCCAAATTTATTTTGAATCATAATAATGGCACTTTTGAATCTTGAGGATTTTTGATAGCTCCTGTTCTGCTTATGCACTATTTGTCATTATTTTAGATATTATTGGAAGTTAGTAGTTTTCTAAACTTTTTATAGATTTCAATTTTTTCACGAATAATTGTATGGTTATCTACTTGTTATTTTGTCAATGGCTCACACCCATGTGGAACTCCCACATTAACTCCGACCTCATTCTCCTAATCTCTTGTCAACCTCTGACAGAGGGTGTTGTTGAATGGGAAGCCAGCAAGAAGAGTTACTGGAGTGTTATCCAAGAGTTCTGGTTCAGGTTCTTCAAAACGAGGCTCAGAAAAGTGGACTTCTACCACCATGGTATATAGATATATTTTATTTAGATTTTTGGCTAAAACTGTTGATGCTGATTTTATTGCTGAAAACAGTTCGCTTTCCATCAGTAGCACTTTTCTTTCGGCAGTTTTAGATGGCCCAAAATTTTTTTAATGTGGCTGATGGATGTCGCGTCGTTTTCAGATATACTGTTTCTTTCCTTAGTTCTATTTATATGATTGCTCAGGTTGGTGTCTATTTACTGTGTTGAATGCAACTAATACATCATACTTGTGATTCATGAAAGTGAAATGTTTTCTAACTCTAGATTGTTCTGACATTTGAGTTCTAGATGTGCCTGGTGTATACCGTAGTTTCCATATTTAAAAAAGTAGAAAAAACGTGAAGTGATTTACCAAATGAACATGGTATCTACATTAAAGTCAATTAAACTCTTACGTTATAAAGAGTTCTAATTGCGATTCTACAATTATTTAACTAGAATTTTTTCTTGAAAATAGTACTTCCTTATCTACAAAAACAATTAGAAAGTCTTTAACCAAATATATTTTTGCTTTATAGCTTATTGAAAAACATGTAAAACATGTAAAGACACCATTAATTTCCATGTGGTATGAAGGTTAACAAAAAATGATTTTTATCGCTCTGATGGGCCACACTAAAAGTTTTTCTACTTTTGGGATTGTTGCTGGATTGTTCACCGGTTGGACATCTTTTTGAAGTCTCCTGTTCTTTGATTTCTTTATGAACATGAGGACTTATAGTTCTGACTTTCGATGATGTAATACTTTTGGATTAACTTTTACATTCTTTTTTTCTTTGGTATACATGCATTTGCATTTATTGTCATATTTCATCAGAAATTCTTTGGAGGATGGTACAGGATCCATTTTTGTGGCTTGGTCATAAGTCATTAACGGTCATAAATTCCTTCAATGGCGTAGAAACTATTTGTTGGACGCTTTTGGTGCATTTGTAGTTATAACTCATTAACCTTCTACTCACTCAGATATCTTATGAACAGTATGTTTTGAGAGATAGCTCGAAGTCTGCAATTGGGAAAGACAAGTCAACGAATAAACTTGTTCCTAAACGAGATGATCAGCAACTCTCCAAGATGTCTGTAAGTTCAGCTGCAGCATCTGGAACTGCTGATGCATTGGATAAGGAAAGTGGTACGATTTGATATTAAATTTATTGTTTAATGATGATTTTATATTTCCTTGCTATTTATGGTGTTGGTATTCACTTGTGCTATATTCTAAAGGTGGGTTGCATTGCATTCTGACTTTACTAGCTTGTTTCATATTGGATGATATTACTTGTGTATTCATGTGTCCTAAAACTTTTCTTATTATTAGCAGAAATTATCTGGCCAAATGTCATAAACCATTCCTTCCTTTCTTATCTAACATGTATGGAGTTGATGGGCCAGTGATGGACTAATTCTTTGCACTTTATACATTTGTATCTGAAATTCATTGTTCACAAGCTACTATTTAGAGTTACCTAGAGTTTTATAGTTCTTTGTTCTCATCTCAGTTGAGTTCTATTTTTGTAGCTATTCTTGTACTTGTGCGTGTTGTTGTTTTGGAAAAACATCAATTTAGATCTGTCCTATGGTAATAGCAATGCTACTTTTTGAGTTACCGTATAGTCTTTCTGACAATGAGTTATTGGTTCGGTCTTTCCAAAGTCTTTTAATCTGTTGTTACTTTGATGCCATTGCATTTCATGTGATGCTATTTGATGCGTTGCAGAAGGCTCAAGACCAAATGTAACTGGGAAGAAGAAGATCCTGCTTTTGAAGGGGAAAGAAAAGGAAATTCCCATTGTGAGTTAATGTCTTGGTTTATAACATAATAAGCGTGTTACTCTAAAATGAGAAAAGACCAAAATTTTAGGAAAATGTGGACCACAAACATTGTCCCCTAGTTCCTTTCAGAGTTCTTGGTAGTTCGAGTATGCGTGGGCTTTTACCAAAGGTGTATGGAGAATTATTTTTCTGCTTTGATCAGTAAGGGGACTGAGAGTATGGATCGGTATATCATACAATACTAGTGTCTCCTTTACCTTACCACCTAGTAAATATTTTGTATGCATGAAGTAGTTTTTCATTCTTGCAGTAAATATAGTTGAATGAATATGTACCAATTACCATTTTTGCTTGTAGAATTTCAATGTCCATTTTAAAAAGTGAAAGGAAAACGCATAGGTTTCTGTTCTATTCTTCTGTAGGATTCTAGTACTCCAACACTACAACAAACTGCTGCATCTTCAGCTAATTTTTCTCATTATTTAACTGTTTTTCATCAGAACCAGCGACTTGAAACTAGTGGAAGGATCATCAGGAGCATTCTTCTGAATAGGGATAGTCGTCAGAATCAATCGGAATATGTACCTCAATCTGAACTGCAAACCCACACCCCAGATCAGGACAGGGATAAGAGACCTCCTCGGCCCCCAAGTCTCCATCGGAAGGATTCAAGTGGAGCTTCTGGAGATAAGGTTTTTGGCAATGATTTGCAGGGTATCCACTCTGAGAAGCTGGAAAGACGAACAAGAAATAAGGATAGGCCTGATCATGGCGTTCAGACTCCTGTTCAGTGTTCAAATGGCTCACGTTCTAGTGATAGGTCTCTTACATCTTTTACTTCCCAAACATTCCAAGTAAAAGATTCCACCGAAGGTTGGGTCACTGGACTATATATTTTGTATTTTGGTTGCAACTTGTTTAATTTACTGAAATTAAAATTTTCAACTTCCAACCCACTTTTTTCTGCTGAGAAATTATATCTTTTCCTAATATTCTAACGTGTGTGTGTGTGTTCCTTTTTTTTTTTTTTTTCTGTCTATTTCATAGCTCTTATATTTACATTTAATGTCATAGATTTTCTAGGAACTCATGCAGATATAAAGCATGATATGTTAGTTGCACGTGGCAGTGAGTTGAGATACACAGGAAGTGGTCGTGGCAGTCATTACTCTGTTGACGTTGGTTAGTTTTGCCTGGAGCATTAAGTGATTTATTATGCTAACAGGCATACTTTGCATACTGATGTCTTTGTGAATTACTATAGTTTCTTACAGGTGTCGTGGTCGCCGTGGATCACTGCATGATGTCAAGGATGCAGGTGGCTCTTCCCTTGTGGAGAGCAAACCCTTGAAAAGAGTCTCTTCTGTCCATGGTTCCCACGAGGTATGCATTCTAAACTTCTGACCATGAACAAGTTTACACTGCTATTTTTCATGTCCCTTATTCTATTATTCTGTTTAATTACAGAAACAAGTGTGGGTCCAAAAGTCTTGTTCTGGTTCGTAGGTTTGTTACTAATGGTGAGCTTCACTCTTTGTTAATTATCTTCTTGCGCATCTTTTGGTAGGAACATTATTTTCGTCCCTTCTATAATGGACACTAGCATTTGTAGTTTATCAAATGGGATAATTGTATGTGTAATCAGGTCAGGTCTGGGTTGGTCCAAATTTGACCTGGTGATCAGTGGGGATTGGAGCTGTTTAATGACAGGCTTTGCGAGAGTTAGTTTCAGTGTTTATTAGCTTATTGTTTCTGCAATTTTTGCAATAAAAAATGATTATTTGTTCTTGTTTTGGTACTTAAAATGAAACTAAGAATCTTGAAAAACTGCTTTTGAGTTTTGACTACCTTATTTTGCAATAATCTGGGAAGATGCTTTTGCAGTGGAACCCTTGGTCAATTATAATATTGAAGCATACATTTGATAACTGGATTTCTCTCTTGCAAGTGAGCATATCCTTTGGGCGCAAGGTTGGAGGAGTCGGACAATTCTTACTCGAGGAATGCAGATGGCTTCGGTTTTACCTAAATGCCACGGATGCCGGCATATATATTCTGCTAAATGGGTTGACAACCCTAGACGTAAGACCAAAGAATTGATAATGTGATTATAGTAACATATAACACCACCATTTTCATCGGTGGTTATACTCATTGGCAGGACCATGTATACTCCGTTCTTGCCATTGACTCAGCTGGTCATCTTGATATCTAGCTTCTTAGACAGACGGTTTATATTTGCTGAACTGTATATAAAAATTTGGCATGACATGTAAATGTACGGCCTAGTTATTGCGTTTGTGGAAGCAATCTGCCGTGTGGTTTGGTGAAAGTACTTAATATAGCTCCAGGGGTACCCATAATGAGGTTTGTCTAAGATTAGAGCTCGAATTTCATGTGCAATTGCACCCCTCGGAGTCCAATGGAAAAATGTTATTAGAGATGTGGGATTTGAGTTTTGTTTTGACAATGCTGATGTTGGTGTGGATGCTTGTAGAACGAGCTATCGATGGTTAATGGTTTGATGTGTTAAATTTATTTATTTTCGTCTTAGATTTCTTTTTGTAAAATGCTCCTGTGCTTTTATTTCAGTCTCAGTCACAGAAAATCTGGCCACAGTATGACTGGGTCGACTGGGTCGAGAATTAAAGATGTATCCAAATTATGCAGTGTTTCATGTCGTTAACAACGTTTCCAAATGTGCCTCGGTGATTAGGGATATTAAGTGAGACGAGCTGAGGACACAAACCAAGCAATGTCTCACACGAGTTGGCTCATCTTACAAACCGAGATTTTCATGATCAATGAACTTCAACAATTGCAAGACTTTTGATGGGTAACAATGAATCACTGGCAAATATTTCATCCTTCTATCTCAATGACGTAAACTCTTCAGTAGAATTAAAAAATTTCATGGCATCACTAAATGAACTTTCTCGCACTATTGATTCTCACAAGAATGTTTAATTTGATTTCTAATTTCGTTGATTGTTAATAAATAGAAGATTGATGGTAAATATATGGCACATTATTTACAGAATGAAAATGAAAAATAGAGTTGTTATGAGTTCCACACAAGAGATAGAAATTCAAAAATGGTGACTTGATATGATAGATAATGATTATATTTTTCATTTTAATGAGATAAAAATGGGGCTCAAACAGAATCATGATTAAAAAATAAGGAAAAATTTTAAATTTATATGTAATATTATTTTATTAAAAATGTGTGGTTGAAAGAAGAGAGAAAAATGCATTTTATAAAAAATAGGGATCAAATGTGTGATTGTTTCCTATGTTTAAAATTCAATTTAAAAAATAAATAAATAAATAAATATATATATATATATATATAGAGAGAGAGAGAGAGAGAGAATTATTCAAAAGAAAAAGAAAAAACTCCACCACATATTGAATCCCGCGTTTAACAAGCGCCACGTCACTAGTCATCCTCTAACTCGAAGTTACAAAAATCAATATCATCTCTCTCACATAGACACACACATAGTACTCAGTACTTTGCGCCTTTCAGGTGAAATTCATCCATGGCGTTAGGGAGTAGCAGTATTAATTTCACGCCTGACTTTATTCAACTCAGACGACCCCGTTCCACTTTTAACTCGAAATGCAGAAGCCGGACGCTTTTGCCGCGAAGTTCCAACAACGCCTCTGAGCCTTACTCCAACGGCTATCCTTCTACAACACTTACTCAAAACAAGCCCTTCCAAGGTTTAATTACATGTTTTATACTTAGGGAGAATTTTAGACGTTGATATCTGATAGATTGTTGCCCAAGATTGAGGTTAGAAGTAGAATTTACCTTGCAACATAAATGGGGTCTAACTCTGAGGAACATTTTAATGTGACTGCAGTATGATGTGCAGGCAAGCCAGAGGCAGATGTTATTGTTATAGGGAGTGGCATTGGAGGATTGTGCTGTGCAGGACTTCTGGCTAGATACAAGCAAGATGTTTTGGTATTGGAAAGCCATGATTTGCCTGGGGGTGCTGCTCATTCTTTCGAGATTAAAGGCTACAAGTTTGATTCTGGCCCCTCTTTGTTCTCTGGGTTTCAATCAAGAGGTCCTCAGGCCAACCCTCTTGCACAAGTAATCAAATTTGTATATATATTTTTGGTTCATCTTGTTAACTTGTAAATATGATGAATAGAATTCAAGAATGGTTTAAGGCCTTAAATTTCTTTGTTAGACATGAAAGGATTCTTATGCCTATAATTAAGAACCTGCATGTAGAGTATATTATTGCGAAATTTTTTGCAGGTATGAATGGAGACAGTTCATATTTCATTTGCTATACTTTTGTAGCAGAACGAACTCAGGAAGAGAATGAAGACTTAAACAATCAAACCTGGTTCTAACAAAAGAAAGGATTGTAGTTTTAGACCACAGTTTGCCGGAATCAACACATGGCAGTTGGCATAGTGTTGGAATCATGAGTAAAATCTTACGAGCAGTTTCTAGTGATTAAACTATGAGAAAATTAATTTAATAACTTCCATGAATTTTTGTCATTGCTAATAAAAATATTTGGTGGAAATTTTGTTGTTTCTTATTACCTATTTCAAGCATGCATTTATTCACTTAGGTAACTAGATTCACCATGTGTTGGCAACCGAATATTTTCCTTAAATGATACATATTGGATGAAAATCTCATAATTTGAATTATGATGGTTTTATGCAATAATATAGATTTCACCATTCTTGAATGATTTGCAGGTTCTTGATGCATTGGGCGAATCACTTCCCTGTGCAACCTATGATTCATGGATGGTATACATACCTGAAGGTGAATTCTTGTCATGCATTGGCCCAACTGAATTTTTCAAGGTAAAATTTCATTCTCCAATCTCTTCTCATGTTTGTAATTGCAAACAGTATCCCCTATTCTTTGCAAGCATTCCATTTGTGAGTCGTAAGTCTCGACTGAAGGAAGTTACTAATTATTTAATTGAATTATTCTTCAGGATCTTGAGAAGTATGCAGGTCAAAATGCAGTGCAAGAATGGAGAAAACTTCTTGTGGGTATCTCTTATTTTCTTTTAAATTTGTATGTACATGTATGTATCCATCATATGAAATTCATTTTGCAAATGTTTGAATGGGACGTCTTGAACATATTGGACTTCATGCATGAAATTTCAATATATTTTTGTTTATCCGTTTTCATGCATGTATATCTGCTAATTGAATATAAAATGTATGTCTTCCTCAGGATGCAGTACTTCCATTATCTGCAGCTGCAATGGCCCTACCCCCTCTGTCTATCCGAGGTGACTGGGGTGTTCTTTCGACTGCCGGGGCTAGATATGCACCCTCTCTCTTGAAATCTTTTGCTCAAATGGGACCTCAGGGAGCCCTTAGTGCTACTAAGCTTCTTAGGCCTTTCTTGGAGATCATTGACTCCTTAGAGCTAAAAGATCCTTTTATACGAAATTGGGTGGATCTTCTGTCATTTTTACTTGCAGGAGTGAAATCAGATGGCGTGCTTGCTGCAGAAATGGTAACCATTTTTTGTAAAGCTGCAAAGTACATTTCGAAATTTCCAGTTTGTTATGCACATCTCTTCCTTTAAGAGCTTATTTCACGCTTGCTTAAGGTTGACTGAATTGAACTTCCATGACTTCATATGAACTTGGAGCTTATCAGATAATTTGAACGTTTGGCTGAAAAGATCTCAATTTGTTTTAAGCGAGTAAATTTTTGATTCCATGTTCTTTTTTCCTCCAACTGACTTAAAATTACATCATCCAATCATATATGGAAACATAACATCACTCTGTTAAAGACTGGTATGACTAAGCTCCTGTATTTTCAGATATACATGTTTTCAGAATGGTACAAACCTGGTTGCTGTTTAGAGTACCCTCTTCATGGCAGCGGGGCAGTTGTTGATGCTCTTGTCCGAGGACTACAGAAGTTTGGTGGTCGTCTCTCTCTCAGAAGCCATGTAGAGAATATTGTTGTTGAAGATGGTCGAGCTATAGGAGTGAGGCTAAGAGGTGGACAAGTGAGTCGTTAAAATAGAAACAACTTATATCTATACCGAGATTCTTAGACATATATAATTTTGCTTCTTAAATGAAAACTGGGAAGAAAATTATTTACTGCAGTTTGTACGCGCTAAAAAAGCTGTTGTCAGCAATGCATCAATGTGGGACACGTTGAGTTTATTGCCTAAGGAAGTTGTTCCGAAGTCTTATCAGGAAAGGATTAAGACGACTCCCCAATGTGAATCATTTATGCACCTACATTTGGGTTTTGATGCTAAGGTAAGATACTGTACAATCTCAGCTATATTTCGTTATGAGCACAGTTTCTTTGTCAAAAATGGTTAGATAATTTTTCTATCTATTAATAAAAAATTTATGTCCGCAAATGTTTCCTACTTTTCATTAATGGTGTCACAGGACAAATATTTCTGCTTGTGTTACCTGTATTGTTTATGAATTATCCTGCTTCTCTTCCTCAATGGCAAGTTTATTGCCCCCTGGTTTAGTTCTTAAAATCTACACTCTTAAAAAAATGATTCAATGAATAGGGTATACGTGAAGACCTGGGAATCCATCATATAGTTGTAAATGGTTGGGAGAGAGGAGTCGATGCTGATCAGAATGTCGTTTTAATCTCTGTACCAAGTGTGCTAAGTCCCGATCTTGCTCCACCTGGGAAACATGTGTTGCATGCCTATACACCAGGAACTGAACCATTTGAACTTTGGGAAGGACTTGACCGAAGAAGTAACGAGTACAAGGAACTCAAGGCTCAACGATCTGAGGTATTCTTATTGACTGTTCATTTTGCTTTGTCGCCCTGACCAGCTTTCATGCTTGAAATTTGGTTCGATTCTATGATAATGTTTTCTAAATGAAAGCTTTCCAGTTAGTTCCTAGAGCATGTTCTTCTTTAACTCTGTGTAGTGATACTGGTATCTAATCCTCTTACCACAAGGGAATTTTGGCATACAGTGTTAGACTATACTACAGTATAGTCTTTGAAGATGATCTTATAGTATTACACCTTACAATTCTATGAATTAAAAACATTCTTTAATTCCTGGCATCTAATCTTTCTCACCACAGGGGATGTTTGGCATACAGTATTAGACTATGTTATGCAGTACGAGTCTTCGGAGATGGTCTTATACTTTTCCTCCGTACAATTCTTTGAATTAAAAATGTTCTTTAATTCTGTTAACAACAGGTATTGTGGAAGGCTGTAGAGCGTGCACTTGGTCCAGGTTTTGATCATAGCAAGTGTGAGGTCAAGTTAGTAGGGACACCGTTGACACATAAAAGGTTTCTTCGAAGGAATCGGGGAACTTATGGACCAGCTATAAAAGCGGGTAAAAACTCGTTTCCTGGACATTCAACTCCAATCACACAACTCTATTGCTGCGGGGATTCAACATTTCCTGGCATCGGTGTCCCTGCAGTTGCAGCCAGTGGTGCCATTGTGGCTAATTCACTGGTTTCTGTGTCTCAACACTCGGAGCTTCTCGATGCGGTCGGAATATAACATTCATCGGTTCGTTT